CAATTATATACATACGCACAAACAGAGCTAAAAGAAATGTCCCGCCCCTTGCCAAGTCAAGGTGTTAATAATAGTTATTTCTTGGTGATGGGATAATAGGTAGTTTTTATTTTGGAATTATATTTCTAAAAATTTTATACCCAGTGAGAAAGTATTACTCACTGATTATAGTTCATTTTCATCGCTGAAGAATATTTATACAGGCTGGCCACAGTGGCTCACGCCTGTAATCCCAGCATTTTGGGAAGCCAAGGTGGAGGGATCACCTGAGGTCAGGAGTTTCAGACCAGACTGGCCAACATGGTGAAAATCCGTCTCTACTAAAAATACAAAAATTTGTCAGGTGTACTGGCGGGTGCCTATAATCCCAGCTACCAAGGAGGCCAAGGCAGGAGAATCGTGTGAACCCGGGAGGTGGAGGTTGCAGTGAGCCGAGATTGCACCACTGCATTCCAGCCTGGGTGACACAGTGAAGCTCCGCCTCAAAAAAAATACAAAAAAAAAAAAGAATATTTATAGAGAATTTTAATAAAACAAAATATTCACAGTATGCAGTAAAAAAACACTATATTTTTAAAAGAATATAATAGCAACTAATTTTGTATGTATATAAGTGTGCATATGTATAAATATATGACCATTCACCTAATAAATACATCTGCTTAGCAAGGACTAAAATGAGGAACAAGCAAATCAAGTCTAAAACCATGTTAGCACTTTTGGAATATGTATTATGGGTTATTTTTAATTTCTGGTTTTTCATTTTCTTAACACTGAGCTTGTATTGCTTTAATATTTTAAAAAATACTATTAAAAAATCAATTAGAAAAAAATCTCTGCCGAGCATGATTATATCATACATGTGTTCACTGCACTGTTACAGATCCCATCAAGTTGTCAGCTTCCTCATTATAAAGTAAGGGGATTTGGCCAGGTGCAGTGGCTCACGCCTGTATTCCCAGCACTTTGGGAGGCTGAGGCAGGTGGATCACCTGAGATCAGGAGTTTGAGACCAGCCTGGTCAACATAGTGAACCCCACTCCCACCCCACGCCATCTCTACTAAAAATACAAAAATTGGTGTACTGGCAGGTGCCTGTCTCTACTAAAATTAGTGTAGTGGCAGGTGTCTCATTTCTACTAAAAATACAAAAATTAGTGTAGTGGCAGGTGCCTGTAATCCCAGCTACTCAGAACACTGAGGCGAATTGCTTCAACCCCAGAGGCGGAGGTTGCAGTGAGCCGAGATTGCACCATTGCACTCCAGCCTGGGCGACAACAATGAAATTCTGTCTAGTCCCAGCTACTCAGGAGGCTGAGGCATGAGAATCGCTTGAACCTGGGAAGCGGAGGTTGCAGTGAGCCGCAATTGCATCTCTGGACTCCAGCCTGGGCAATGGAGTGAGACTCTGTCTCAAAAAAATAAAAAAATAAAAATAATATTATATAATATAATGAGGGGATTATATTTGGTGTTCTCTAAGACACCTTCCAGCTCTAAAATCCTCTAAGTCCATGAACTATACAGCAGACATCTAGTAAATAGTTATTAAAATAACAGACCAGGCTGGGCACTGTGGCTCACACCTGTAATCCCAGCACTTTGGGAGGCTGAGGCAGGTGGATCACTTGAGGTCAGGAGTTCGGAACTAGCCTGACCAACACGGTGAAACTCTGTCTCTACTAAAAATACAAAATTAGCCAGGTGTGGTGGTGCACGCCTATAATCCCAGCTACTTGGGAGGCTGAGGCAGGAGAATCGCTTGAACCCAGGAGGCAGAGGTTGCAGTGAGCTGAGATCGCACCATTGCGCTCCAGGCTGGGCAACAAGAACAAAACTAACTGTCTCAAAAAAAAAAAAAAAAATATATATATATATATATATATATTCTATTGTAAGTCTCAAAAGACTCCAAACTTGAGGTGTCAAGGTGTGATAATCAGAGGATGGCCTTGGCATTAAAGAAACGGCTGGAATCCTGGCTGGGTCTCACTTTCCTCATTTGAGCAGTGGGGATAATAACACCTCTCTCAAAAGACTGAGAAGGAATTGAAATGTGATCAGTCTGCAGGCCTTGTGTGTTGGCTTGCGTGGAGTAGATGCTTCATACATGACAGTTTTCTCCTCAATAATCCAAGGCTTGATCTGCCAGATTGCACCGGACCATCAGTTTGCAATCCCAGGATCTAAGCTCCCCTTTCGGGCCCCCACATCTGGAAGTGGAAGGGTCCCATTTGTGAGGACTAAGTGATATTTAGCTTTGGGATGTTGAGTCACGGGTTCCAGAGAGATGTGCGTGCAACAGCCAGAGCGGCCAGGGCAAGTCCTCTGATCCCGAGCACAGAGAAGGAGGCAGCAGGGGAAGACGGGGGAGGGGTGGAGGAGAAGCTTGGTCCTGTGTCTTCCTTCACGCGTGCTTGTCCACCCACTCACCAAACTTTCTTCCTCCCCCACTCCCTTCCTTCAGAAGACATCAATGATGCAGATTACCTGGCAGTCCCTGTGCTGGGTAACAGAGTTTGAAAACTGAATACGATATTGGCTCCGGGCCAGGCACAGTGGCGCATATCCGTAATCCCAGCACCTTGGGAGGTTGAGTCAGGAGGATCACTTGAGCTGAGGAGTTCAAGACCAACCTGGGCAACATACTGAGAGCTCCTCTCTACTAAAAAAAAATCAAAGTAATTAGCTGGGTGTGGTGGTGGACACCTGTGGTCCCAGCTACTTAGGAAACGAGGTGGGAGGATCACCTGAGCCTAGGAGGTCAAGGCTGCAGTGAACCTTACTGCACTCCAGCCTAAGCGAGAAACAGAGTGAGACCCTGTCTCAAAAAAAGATACTGGCTCTGCCCTTAAGGGTCTCTGGTCTTCTAGGGGAGGCAGACAACATGGTGAAACCCCATCTCTACTAAAAATATTTTTTAAAAAAATTAGTCAGGCATGATGGCAGGTGCCTACAATCCCAGCTACTCGAAAGGTTGAGCCAGGAGAATCACTTGAACCCCGGAGGCAGAGGTTGCAGTAAGCCGAGATCGCGACATTGCACTCCAGCCTGGGCGACAAGAGTGAAACTCCATCTCAAAAATAAATAAATAAATAAATAAATATCACAAGCCTACCCACATGATCAGCCCTGCACACTAGTGGGGTTCACAGGAAGGAAGACTCAGATCTGTTGGAGGGGCTGGTGGGCCATGGGACACGGTGAGAGGCGGCTTCCCAAAGGCAATCCCCTCAAGGTCATTTTTCTTTCTGACGGAAGTGGATTTTGCCCTATCCATCAAGATGTGCTTGAGATGGGGAGAGGAATACCCATCAGGAGCTCCCAGTGGAGATGGGAATAGTCCGGCTCCTCCATGACGGAATCTTGGGGAACTCCTCTCACCAGAGAGAAGGGTGTGATGAAAGGGGGCTTAAGACCAGATCCTGAGGGGCGTGAATCACAATTATAAAGTAGGAACAGTCTGGTGAAGGCAATGGACCATTCCCTGAAGTAGTTTAAAGTAGTTTAGGCCGGGCGCGGTGACTCAAGCCTGTAATCCCAGCACTTTGGGAGGCCGAGGCGGGCGGATCACAAGGTCAGGAGATCGAGACCACAGTGAAACCCCGTCTCTACTAAAAATACAAAAAATTAGCCGGGCGCGGTGGCGGGCGCCTGTAGTCCCAGCTACTCAGGAGGCTGAGGCAGGAGAATGGCGGGAACCCGGGAGGCGGAGCTTGCAGTGAGCCGAGATCGCGCCACTGCACTCCAGCCTGGGCAACAGCGTGAGACTCCGTCTCAAAAAAAAAAAAAAAAAAAAAAAAGTAGTTTAAAGCTCGGAGGGACACAAACACACCTGTATTTTACAGAGCAACCTCAGAAGAAGGTGCTTCACAGTTTGGCCATGGAACAGACTGGAGCCTGGGAGGCCAGCTGCAGGCCCAGACAGTCCAGCATCGGGTGATGAGGTGGGTCAGGCTCAGGGAGAAGCAAGAGGAGAAGCGACAGCACGCAGGAATGCAGGGGTGGCCAGGAGCTGCTGTCGCCATTCCTGAGGTGTGTAACCGTGGACATTGCCTGGCTGAGTAACTCTGGGCATTGTTTAGCTTCGTTTGTTGCTGATACTACCTGGAGAGATCATATGGTCACCAGCTTGTTTGTCATTGTTGTTCTGTGTGACTCTGGGAAAGGGTCTTCTGCCTCTTTCTTTCTTCTATTTCTCTTTGTGTTCTATATTGCCATTTGTATTCCAAGTTGCAATTCTCCTGAACCAATTAGAGAGAGTTCTGTTTTGGAGACTATCTCCAGAAATTCACTAACTTCCCATTTATCTTTCTTTTATCTCCATTCTATGGTATTTTTCAGCAACAATACTATTCTCCAGAAATGCATTCTAGGTGAGACCTTTTTTTTTTTTTTTTTTTTTTTTTTGAGACAGAGTTTCACTCTGTCACCCAGGCTGGAGTGCAGTGGGGCAATCTTGGCTCACTGCAACTTCCACCTCCCGGGTTCAAGCGATTCTCCTGCCTCAGCCTCCTGAGTAGCTGGGATTACAGGCGCTTGCCACTACACCCGGCTAATTTTTATATTTTTAGTAGAAACTGGGTTTTGCCGTGTCTCTAGTCTCGAACTTCTGGCCTCTTGTGATCCGCCCGCCTCGGCCTCCCAAAGTGCTGGGATTACAGGCGTGAGCCACCGCGCCTGGGTTAAGTAAGACCTTTTTTAATCTCCACATTTGAGAAATAGTATGCTTTCCTTTGTACAAACACACTAATGTGTGACTTCTGGAGGGTGAATCTGTCACAGTGAGTGACCAGACCACACTGAAATTCAGGTGCTAGAAGTCTACTGTGGTTTGAAGGTCTGCGTTCCCTCCAAATCTCATGTTTTGAAACAGAATCACCAACGTCACAGTGTTAAGAAATGGGGCTTTCCAGAGGTGATTAAGTCATGAGAGTGGAGCACTCGCGAGTGGCATTAGGCTTGACTGACCTACCAAAAAGCTTGATCAACTGCATTCAGCCCTTTTCCCCTTCTGCCCTCTGCCATGTGAGGTCACACCGTCCCCCCCTCCTGAGGATGCACCATTCATGAAAGTAAAGACTGGGTCCTCACCAGGCAACAAACCTGCTGGTGCCTTCATCTTGGACTTCTCAGCCTTCAGAACTGTAAGATATAGATTTCTGGGTTTTTTAATAAATAAATTACCCAATCTGTGGCATTTTGTTATAGCAGCACAGACTAAGACCGTGGTTCAGATAGGATACTTTTTTTTTTCTTCTTTGTTTTTTTTTTTGAGACGGCGTCTTGCTCTGTCACCTAGGCTGGAGTGCAGTGGCGTGATCTTGGCTCACTGCAACCTCCACCTCCCAGGTTCAAGCGATTCTCCTGCCTCAGCCTCCCAAGTACCTGGGATTACAGACATGTACCACCACACCTGGCTAATTTTTGTATTTTTAGTGGAGGTGGGGTTAAACCATGTTGGCCAGGCTTGTCTTGAACTCCTGACCTCAGTTGATCCACCTGCCTCGGCTTCCCAAAGTGCTGGGATTACAGGCATGAGCCACCGTGCCCAGCCTACTGTTTAGTGAGGCGCTCTCTCAGGGATACAATGCCTTACACAGAATTCAAACTTTGACTCAACAACAAGAGCAAAAAATTCTGTGTGTCATTGGCTTTTGAGATTATTTGTAAAATGTAGACATTGCTGAACGCCAAATGCCAAGAATAACATTTCTTCTAAATTCATCATGAGTGGCTTCTGGTAAAATAATGTGGCCTGTCAAAATCACCTTTAATATTACAATTCACAAATTATCAAATCTCTTATTTTTGTTTTTTGATATTTCATTTACTGCTTCCAAGCTTTTAGATAAGTTATAATTCTTCTGAAGATATAACTGCTTGTTTCTGTTTTCACTACTGTGTTATAGTTTGATTTATATGTTTAACAGTTAAATATCAAGTTTTTTGGGGGCCGAGCCTGGTGACTCACATCCGTAATCCCAGTACTTTGGGAGCCCAAGGCGGGCAGATCACCTGAGGTCAGGAGTTTGAGACCAGCCTGGCCAACACGGTGAAACCCCGTCTCTATTAAAAATACAAAAATTAGCCAGGCATGGTGGCAAGTGCCTGTAATCCCAGCTACTTGGGAGGCTGAGGGAGGAGAATCACTTGAACCCAGGAGGCGGAGGTTGCAGTGAGCCGAGATCATGCCACTGCACTCCAGCCTGGGCAACAGAGCAAAATTGCCTCTCAAATAAATAAATTGATTAATCAATACAAATGAAGTTTGTTTGGTATAGTGTAAGTTAAAGTGTTTTTTATATTGCTAGCATGAAGAAATAAATTTCCAAGGGGTTTTACTTCTCCACAAAGCAGATAATTTGCATGTTTTGTAAACTGCTTAGCATGGTATAAATGTGAGATAATTTAAGCCAGAGGAAAAAGATTTTTATCACACCACTACTCCCTTGGAAAATATTTAAAATATGGTAATCATATTTCTAATTTCCCTTTGAAGATACTTTTGGATAGATTCCAGGAAAACGACCCTTTGTAAAACAGATGAATGTTTCATCTAAAAATTTGGTCCACTTATAAAAAGTTAACTATCAAACATGTTTAAGTGTCTATGTTAGTTACTGTGGTACAAATTATATTCAGTAGAAGTTTCACGCTGAGAAAAACCACGATGTGCATAAGATGAATGCATTCATGGTGATTATGCTCTTCAGGAGCTAGAAAATAACTACTTAGGAAGATTATGCAGGAGAGTAATTGCTGTTTAATGGAGAAAAACGGGAAAATAATTATAAGAGTAAAGAAGACATTTCCTAACCATCTGTCATTTAAAAATCAGAAACAAAAAAAGGAAACATAGCATGTTTTTCAGAAAGACTTGGAAATGATGCCAAAAGGCAATACTCTGGTGGTGCACACACAAAAGAGCTCTCAGAAGAGTCTGAGATTACTATATAAAAACAGTCTAAACACCCAAGGTGTATTTACTATTACAGTTAGTCACCTTTATTTAACATTTCTATGTAGCCAAAAGTAGAGAACAAACCCAACTGAGATGTCCATCACTGGAACCAGGAAACAGCAATGGGAAGACATTTTCTCCCACTAGAAGAAAAAAAAGATAACTATAGGGAAAAGCAGTCTTCTTTTTTTTTTCTTTTTTTCCCGAGATGGAGTTTCACTCTTGTTGCCCAGGCTGGAGTGCAATGGCACGATCTCGGCTCACCGCAACATCTTCCATCTCGGCTCACTGCAAACTCTTCCTCCCAGGTTCAAGCAATTCTCCTGTCTCAGCCTCCCGAGTAGCTGGGATTATAGGCATGTGCCACCACACCCAGCTAATTTTGTATTTTTAGTAGAGAGCGTTTCTCCATGTTGGTCAGGCTGGTCTTGAACTCCCGACCTCAAGTGATCCGCCCGCCTCGGTCTCCCAAAGTGCTAGGATTACAGGTGTGAGCCACCGTGCCCAGCTGAAAAGCAGTCTTCTATTTATCACTTTGAATTTTGGGTTTTGTTGAATGCATTGAAGAAATATTAGTAAGCTAATAAAGGACTATATTGTTACAGGCTTTATTCCTATAACATTTTATTGGTGGTCTCTTCTGCTGAAGCAGGTGTTCTTTAGACTATAGATAGGCTGGGTGCGTGGCTCACACCTGTAATCCCAGCGCTGTGGGAGGCCGAGGCAGGTGGATCACTTGAGGTCAGGAGTTCAAGACCAGCCTGGCCAATATGGTGAAACCCCATCTTTACTAAAAATACAAAAATTAGCCGGGCAAGATGGTGCGTGCCTGTAATCCCAGCTACTGAGGAGGCTGAGGCAGGAGAATTGCTTGAACTCAGGAGGTGGAGGTTGCAGTGAGCCAAGATCACACCAGCGCATTCTAGCCTGGGAGTTTGAGACCATTCTAGCCTTAGGAGTTTGAGACCAGCTCTGTCACTAGCCTGGGTAACAGAGCGAGACTCCACCTCAAAATTTAAAAAAAAAAAAAGGGCTATAGATATTAGCCCCTGAAATGTGCCTATCAGAGTCTCCAATCCTGACTTGGAGGAGCTGATGATCTGGATGTGGAGGAAGAAGCAACACCATGAATTATTCAGTGTGATTGGCTTGCTGTTGTTTAATAACACAGGAATTAATAACCAGACAAGACAATAATACAAGAGATGTGAGGCAGTATGTGATTAAGGGTGCAGCTGGAAGTGATCTCTCGCCTTTAAATTTCCGAACACTTTAGCTGTGTTCCTTATGACACTTTCCCCTTTCTCTCTGTTATTACTGTAATTTCTTGTCTTTTTCTCTTGACAACGGTGAACTACTGCAGGGCAATTCCGTGTCTGGTTCGTCCTTGATTCCCCACACAGAGTCTAGCCTGGGCCTGCCTAGCACTGCTGCCAAGAAATATTTATTTCAATAAAATGAGGGACACAGGGGATAAGTTTTGGGTGTGAAGAGGGGGGAGGGGAAGGGTATTGCTTGCTGTGAAGATTCTCACTTTGGGCAAAACTAGATTTTTTTTTTTTTTTTTTTCCTGAAACAGGGTCTCACTCTGTTGCCCAGCCTCCCGAGTAGCTGGGACGCACCACCACGCCCAGCTAATTTGTGTGTGTGTGTGTGTATTTTTTATAGAGACGATGGCACACCATGTTGCCCAGGCTGGTCTCAAACTCCTGAGTTCAAGCAATCCACCCACCTTGGCCTCCCAGAGTGCTAGGATTACAGACCTGAGCCACTGAGCCCAGCCTGTATATATGTGTGTCTGTGTGTATATAAAAAATTATCTGGAAAGTTTTAAAAAAGATCCAGAAATGCCCAGGCAGAGAGACGCTCACTGCAAGCTCTGCCTCCCAGGTTCACACCATTCTCCTGCCTCAGCCTCCCGAGTAGCTGGGACTACAGGCACCCACCACCACGCCTGGCTAACTTTTTGTATTTTTAGTAGAGACGAGGTTTCACCATGTTAGCTAAGATGGTCTGGATCTCTTCAGCCTCCCAAAGTGCTGGGATTACAGGCGTGAGCCACCGCGCCCAGCCATGAATTAATATTTATAAAGTATTTCAAACACTGTCTGGCACAAAGTAAGGACTCAATGAGTTCAACTTTTATTACTTTTTTAAAAGTATTCATCTGTATTGTAGCCCCTTGATCTAGATGAGAAAGTTGAGCTTAAACAGGTTAAGTCAAAGACTGCAATCTGGTCACTCACTGTTGGCTTGCCTGGATTAAACAAATGTTTAAATGGATTGTAACCATTTGGAACCTGAGAGATTTCATATGAATATGAAGAATTCTGGCTTATTTGAGTGACAGGATAATCTCTTAACACTGGGCCAGCATTCCTGCAAGGCACCCACTGGCTCTTGCTGACCAGTGGCTTCTCGTTGCAGATGGAGTCTGCACTCTCCAGTTCATCACCACCCCAGCATCCCTACTCTTGCTTCTAACACTTTCCTCTATTTTGTACCACATGCCTGGCCCTTATGGGCAACTCAAGGAAGAAAGGAAAGAAGAGATAGAGGAAAAAATGGACTCAACAAATGAAAGTGTTCTTTCCGATTATTGCTATGTATGCATTTTAATCATCAAAACATGCTTTATTTGATAGAAGGATCAAATCTGCCTTTGTAAAACAAGAGCCTATTTTAACCATTAAGACAACACACACGTTTGATTTGGAGGCATGTTCTCATTCAAAACCTTGCAAAATATAATTTCTTCTTGTCTGGGAGATGCTGTCTCTCTTCGGGGAGAACCTTGAGAGAAATGTCTATGAATGTGTCTGTAGAATGAGGATAGGACAACAAACATATTTTGAAATAATTTTTCTTTCTTTTAAAAAAAACAGATACTTTTAAAAGAAAATGCTGATTTAAATTACATAGCTCTTTTTTCCATTCTTACTCATCATTGTGGTTTCAATCAGTATTACATTTATTCCCCAGAGCTAGGATTGCTGTGTTTTTAGAAAGGGAGTCTGTTTGAAGGGACTCTATACTCTTGCAGTAATTAAAATCCTTTTAGGAATCTTTGACTTTGACTTACTGCTTTGTTTTAAATTATTGAAATTATTGAACTTCCCCATTATATCCCAGAAAAGGCTGTAGTTGTTCTCATTTATAATGGCACAATATAAGTTTAAAGATAACTGTCTCCACATGAATGCATCTGCAAATCCATCTCCCTTCTCCCTTATCCCATCCAGGTTAAGAAGCTCCACTGCGCTCTGTCCATTGCAGCTGTCACATACAGTGAGTGAAGAAGCTGAGCTTCCCTCAAAGCCTGGGCCTCCACCTGCTGTATGATTTTTTTTGTTTGTTTGTTTTTGAGATGGAATTTCACTCTGTTGCCCAGGCTGGAGTGCAATGGCACTATCTTGGCCCACTGCAACCTCCGCCTCCCAGGTTCAAGTGATTCTTCTGCCTCAGCCTCCTGAGTAGCTGGGATTACAGATGTGCACCATCACACCTGGCTAATTTTTGTATTCTTAGTAGAGAAGGATTTTCACTATGTTGGCCAGGTTGGTCTCGAACTCTTGACCTCAGGTAATCTGCCTGCCACGGCCTCCCAAAGTGCTGGGATTACAGGAGTGAGCAACCGCACCCGGCCCTCTATTTGCTTTATATTTATCTTTCCAAACTCTCTCTCCCACTCTTCTTTTCAAATTTTGTTTCAAATTCATGATTTTGTTTTAGATAAGCTTCTTTTTTTATTATTATTTTTTTTTTTTTTTTTTTTTTTTTTTTGAGACGGAGTCTCCATCTCTCCCCAGGCTGGAGGGCAATGGTGCAATCTCAGCTTACTGCAACCTCTGGCTCACTGCAACCTCCGCCTCCCAGGTTCAAGCAAATCTCCTGCCTCAGCCTCCCAAGTAGCTGGACTACAGGCATGCGCCACCATGCCCAGCTAATTTGTATTTTTAGTTGATATGGAGTTTCTCCATATTGGTCAGGCTGGTCTCAAACTCCCGACCTCAGGTGATCCGCCCGCCTTGGCCTCCCAAAGTGTTGGGATTACAGGCGTGAGCCACGGGCCCGGCCATAGGTAAGTTTCTTAAAGGAAATGCAGACTTCAATTACTTTCACCTTGGCTGTATATAAAAAGTTATCTGGGAAGCTTTAAAAAAGGTTCAGGAATACCCAGGCAAAGAGCAAAGGGAATTTGCTCCCTGTTCCCATAGAGACATTAAATTGAAATTGCTTGGATCAGCCGGGCACGGTGGCTCATGCCTGTAATCCCAGCACTTCAGGAGGCCAAGGTGGGCAGATTATAAGGTCAGGCGTTCCAGACCAGCCTGTCCAACATGGTCAAACCCATCTCTACTGAAAATACAAAAATTAGCCGGGCCTGGTGGCACATGCCTGTAGTCCCAGCTACTTGGGAGGCTAAGGCAGAAGAATCACTTGAACCCAGGAGTGCAGTGAGCTGAGATCGTGCCCCTGCACTCCAGCCTAGGTGACAGAGCAAGACTGCGTCTCAAAAAAACAAAAAAAAAAAAGGAAAGAAAAAAATTACTTAGATCCTAAGAATGGGTATTTTTTTAAATTGTGGTAAAACAAACAACAACAACAAACCCACAATGTAAAATTTGCCATCTTAATCATTTTTAAGTGTACAGTTTAGTAGTGTTAAGTAAATTTACATTGTGATGCAACAGATTTCCAGAACTTTTTCATCTTGCAAAGCTGAATCTCTAAACTTTTTTTTTTTTTTTTTTTTGAGATGGAGTCTTGCTCTGTTGCCCAGGCTGGAGTGCAGTGGTGTGATCTCAGTTCACTGCAATCTCCGCCTCCCAGGTTCAAGCGATTCTCCTGCCTCAGCCTCCCAAGTAGCTAGAACTAAGGCGCCTGCCACCATGCCCAGCTAATTTTTGTATTTTTAGTAGAGATGGGGTTTCACTATATTGGCCAGGCTGGTCTCAAACACCTGACCTTGTGATCCACCTACCTTGGCCTCCCAAAGTGCTGGGATTTCAGGCGTGAGCCACTGCACCCGGCCATCTACACCCATTAAACAACTCCCCACTTCCCCTTCTCATCAGCTCCTGGCGACCACCATTCTACTTTTTGTTTCTATGAGTTTGACTACTTTAGATGCCTCATATAAGTGGAATCATACAGTATTTGTCTTTTGTGGCTTATGTCACATAGCATAATGTCCTCAAGGCTCATCTATGTTATAGCATGTGTTGGCATTTCCTTCCTTTTTAAGGCTGAATAATATTTCATGGTATGTACATAACACATTATCTTTATCCGTTCATCTATCAATGGGCATTTAGGTTGTTTCCACATCGTAGCTATTGTGAATAACGCCGTGGTGAACACTGGTGTGCAAATACTATATCTCTTTGAAATCCTGCTTTCAATTATTTTGGATATGTAGCTAGAAGGGGAATTGCTGGATCATATGGTAAGTATATTTTTAATTTTTTGAGGAACCTCCGTTCTGTTTTCCATAGCAGCTGCATCATTTTACATTCCCACGAACTGCACAAGTGTTCCAAAGAGCATGGGTATTTTTAAAAGCTCTTTCAGTAGAAGCTTTCTGTTTATTATCTTTTGCTTTCCTTTTTTCTTCTCTATCATTGCCTTAACACAACCTATCTCGTTTGCCTGGACTAACCAATTGGTTTGATACATTTTCCTATATTTTCTTTCTTTTTCTTATTGGAGGCTATACAATTCGATTCTTTTATAATAGACTTTAAATTTTTTTACATGTATATTATTTAATAAAATGCTTTTTTCTTTTTTCTTTTTGGAGCAGGGTCTCACTCTGTCACCCAGGCTGGAGTGCAGTGGCATGATCTCGGCCCACTGCAACTGCAGCCTCCTGGGTTCAAGCAATTATCATACCTCAACCTCTGGAGTAGCTGGGATTACAGGGGCACACCAACACCCCTGGCTAATTTTTATATTTTAGCAGAGATGGGGTTTCACCATGTTTGCCAGGCTGGTCTCGAACTCCTGATCTCAGGTGATCCACCTGCCGTGGCTTTCCAAAATGCTGGGATTACAGGTGTGAGCCACTGTGCCCGGCCATAAAATACTTTTTTCTAACAAAATCGAAAGCTTTTTACTGTTTTTATCTTTTCTTAAACACATCGTGACATTTAAAGTATGCTTGAATAATTTGTTGTATAACTTTATCCCCCACTCCATCATAATAGTGTTCTCTGGAGGTTTAATTTAACATTCTTTTAAGCACCCTCACCCCATACATTTTTTCACAATTGTTAAATTTTCTGACATAATTTATCAATTTGTGTGCTAAAATCTGTTTTCTGTGTACAGATGTATCTGAGTCACTTTTCCTCTTGCCACTTTCAAGAAGACCTGCTACAATACAAAGTATTATTCAAAATATGTAACAACCAGGGCCCTGGAATCAAACTGAGCTGACTAATCAGCATGCTCTCTTCCTGCAGGTGGGGTGGGGGGGAGGGGCTGCTGAAGGAGGATAGAAGGATTGTGGTTGGGGGGAGCGGTGGAGAGATAGGGGAGGTGAGAGGGTGTTCTGGGAGAGATAACTGGCGGATACTTGGGCTTTGGGGTAACGGTATTTACTAGCAAGTAAGGAAGTGTTCAGGAGCTATATTAAAGGTATTTACCCGTAGGGTAGCATGGGCACTCACTAGCCAGAATAGGGCACTGACCTATCAAAATGAGCACTGACTTTAAGCAGCCTCTTTGTTCACACCAGTGCTGCCATCCTCGGTGAGCATCAGCCACAGCCTGCAGAGAGAGAGAGTGAGAGAGAGAGATATTATATGCAGTTTTTTGTTTGTTTGTTTGCTTTTTTCTTTTTCTCGAGATGGAGTCTCACTCTGTCATCCAGGCTGGAGTGCAGTGTCGCAATCTCGGTTCACTGCAACCTCTGCCTCCCAGGTTCAAGCGATTCTCCTGCCTCAGCCTCCCGAGTAGCTGGGATTACAGGTGCATGACACCATGCCCGGCTAATTTTTGTATTTTTAGTAGAGGCGGGGTTTCACCATGTTGACCAGACTGGTCTCCAACTCCGGACCTTGTGATCCGCCCGCCTCTGCCTCCCAAAGTGCTGGGATTACAGGCATGAGTCACCATGCCTGACCAGTCTTTTTTTTTTTTTTTAAGATACTTACTGTTCTAGTGTGGAATATTGTCTGGAATGGAATGGTTTAAATAGTACCATAGTGTAGTTTAAAATATAAAATAGGATTTGGAACCTTATTGTGATAAATTTCTGTATAGGATGTATGTGGTTGTCTCCCCCCGCCAAAGGAAGGAACCCTTTTAAAGCATGTTGAGAAGGTATTTTTTGATATGAAAGGGTGAGAGGCCTTTAAATCTTTCAGGGATACATATAAGTATAAGGATACAGCCTCTATGGAGAAGGTGTGTGCAGCACTCAAAGTTGCTAACATCAGCTTCCTAACTTTCAGCCAGGGTTCTTACTGCATTTGGCATGGCTCTGATGAGACAGTGGGGAATTTCTGACAGTATAGCACACTACCTTCTGACAAATGGGGTTAAGCTGCCAACAGTGACAATCAGGTATTCCGTAAGAAATTCTGGTCATTAAATCGATTTTATATTATTACTTTTTTTGTTTGTTTTTTTTTTGAGACGGAGTCTCGTTCTGTCGCCCAGGCTGGAGTGCAGGGGCGCGATCTCGGCTCACTGCAAGCTCCGCCTCCCGGGTTTACGCCATTCTCCTGCCTCAGCCTCCCGAGTAGCTGGGACTGCAGGC